GCCGTCTGGAAATGCCGGCGGGCTTCCAAGCGGTCTCTTCTTCCTCGTTTCTAACCCCATCTTCTTCTGGGGCGGCCACTCCGATGAGCCCAGCCCCGCTGACCACGGTGGCGGCTCTGCCAGACGGCGTTGAACGGCCGCGAGGCAAGTTCGACTCAGTTGTCCGGCCGTCCAGTCTTCCGTCAACCGCCACGGCGGCGGATCTGGATATGGCCCGCTTTCTACTTGGCCCTTCGGCCTTGGTCGTTGCGGCGGAGGGCCGGCCTATTCACGACCCGCTGGAGGGTTTTGTGGGCATCCACTTGCACTCGGTTGCATTCGGCTTCCGAGTGCCCCCACACCCGTTTCTTTCGCTTCTCTTTCGGCACTATAACTTTGTCCCCAGCCAGTTAGTGCCTAACTCTCACCGACTCCTCACCAGCTTCATCAATCTCTGCCATTGGTGGCAGTGCGAGCCGGATTTGGACCTGTTTCGGTACCTCTTTACCGTGAACAAGGTCGGCTCTCACTCGCCCGGCTTCATCCAAGTTGCTGCTCGCCCGAAGCGGCAGCTTTTCGAGGGGTTGTCCGACTCGATCAAAGAGTGGAAGCCCCTGTATTTCTTCGTCCGACCTCTCTCTTCTTCCTTCACCTTTCCGACCCTGTGGCCGGCGACTCTCTTCAAGCCTTGCTCTCGGCGGGCCGTCTTTACGGAAGATGCTGTCCAGGGCGGCGACTTCTTGAAGAGCCTGGGGCCGTACTCGGTTAAGTACTGGTCCCGGGTCCAGGCCATGGCCAAGCATGGCCTTCTGCCGGAGGGCGCCGCCACCATAGGTAGCGTCTTTTTCACCTCCTTCTCGACTTGCTTCTTATTTCATGCGGAAATACTCACAAATGTGTGGGTCTCTCTTACAGGTCCCTACGACTCCGACTCCTCTAGCTCCGACGAGGCTATCGCACCGACTCCAGAGATGACAGATAGGGCAGAAAAGATGAGGCGTCGCCTGACGCAACGCTCTACCGGCGCCGCCGCCGCGTCCTCTTCTCAGCCATCGCCGGTGACTCGGCCGACTCCTCCACCTTCTCACAACGTGGTCGACCTCACACCCTCGCCCGTGGTATCACCCAGTCGGCAGCCGCCTCCTCCTTCTACTGAGAGTCCGAGCTCTAAGCGGCCTGCTGAGCATACGGAGGGGCCGACTCCGAAGAGGATCAAGCTGTGCCACGAGGTGGACGAGGACGCCCAAATTTGGATGGGCAACACCTCCATTCGCAGGTGGTGCAAGGATGTCCTCCTGCCAAAGGACGTGGAGTCGACCAAGGCTCTCGGCGACGGGTTCATTATCGAGGCCCTGCTCCGGCAGTCGTATCGCGTAAGTGTTGTTCATTCGGCCTTTTCCTCTGTTTACTTTTCCCTTTTCTGTTTGACTGACGGTTTGGTGTGCAGGACCTCACCCTCCAGATGGAACTGGGCAATCGGTTCCAGAGCTTTAGGAATGATATGCGGGCCATGGTCGCGAAGCTGCGCCAGACAGAGGAAGCTTTCCTGGAAGAGCAGGCGAAGCAACTCAAGATGGTGGAGGTGCACAACACCGAGTTGCTGAGGGTCACCCGTCAGTGAGAGGAGGAGAGGGATAAGGCGGCCACGATCGCCGCGACTTCTGTCGAAGAATACAAGAAGTCGGCGGCCTTCGAAGCGGACGTGCAGGCGGCGGTGGAAGCCCGGAGGAAAGAGGTGGCCAAGGAATGGCTGGCGACTCCAGAGGGCGACGACTTTCTTCTGGACCTGGGCGAGCGTGATTACCGCCTTGGTTTCCGCGAGGCGCAGATGGAGATTCATGCCTCGCTGCTGGCCCGCGACTCCTCGTTTACTCCCGAGGGCTGGGGTCTCAAGCCGGTGTTGGACGTCGAAGGGCCGGCTGCGCCTACTGACCCGGCGACTCTTCCTACGACGACGCCTCCCGAACTCACCGAGTCCCCTCCTCAGGCGGAGGACCCTTCTTCTGTTCACCTTGCTGGACCATCGGCAGGGGCGCAAGTTGAAGGGGTCGCCGTCGACACCCCTTCCCCAGTAGCCTAGGGTCTTCTAGAATAGACCCTCCTTTTGTAAATGCTGGCCTCCTTATCGGCCTTATCTTAATAAATAACAGCTTTTCTTTTCTCAGAATTTGTCTTTGAGCTCTTTTAATATTGGCATTTTTCTGAGGCTTCGATTCTCAAGCGGAACTTCACTTTTTCCTCGCCGAGTCCCTCAGTCGAGGCAAATCGTTATGCTGACTCCGAGAAACGACTAAGGGTCTAGGCCCTTGTCTCCCAGCTCTTTCTCGCCGAGTCCCTCAGTCGAGGCGACTCCTTTCTACTTTTCTCTTGGAAACGACTAAGGGTCTGGGCCCTTGTTTCCTAACTTTCTCTCGCCGAGTCCCTCAGTCGAGGCGACCCTTTAGGCTTTTTCTGTTCTCAGAAACGGTCTAGGGTCAGTGCCCCGTTGTTTCTATATATACTCGCCGAGTCCCTCAGTCGAGGCGACTCCATTTGGCTTTTTCACGGAAACGACTAAGGGTCTGGGCCCTTGTTTCCTAACTTTCTCTCGCCGAGTCCCTCAGTCGAGGCGACCCTTTAGGCTTTTTCTGTTCTCAGAAACGGTTTAGGGTCAGTGCCCGGTTGTTTCTATATATACTCGCCGAGTCGCTCAGTCGAGGCGACCCCTTTTGGCTTTTTCACGGAAACGACTAAGGGTCTGGGCCCTTGTTTCCTAACTTTCTCTCACCGAGTCCCTCAGTCGAGGCGACCCTTTAGGCTTTTTCTGTTCTCAGAAACGGTTTAGGGTCAGTGCCCCGTCGTTTCTATATATACTTGCCGAGTCCCTCAGTCGAGGCGACTCCTTTTGGCTTTTTCACGGAAACGACTAAGGGTCTGGGCCCTTGTTTCCTAACTTTCTCTCGCCGAGTCCCTCAGTCGAGGCGACCCTTTAGGCTTTTTCTGTTCTCAGAAACGGTTTAGGGTCAGTGCCCCGTTGTTTCTATATATACTCGCCGAGTCGCTCAGTCGAGGCGACCCCTTTTGGCTTTTTCACGGAAACGACTAAGGGTCTGGGCCCTTGTTTCCTAACTTTCTCTCACCGAGTCCCTCAGTCGAGGCGACCCTTTAGGCTTTTTCTGTTCTCAGAAACGGTTTAGGGTCAGTGCCCCGTCGTTTCTATATATACATGCCGAGTCCCTCAGTCGAGGCGACTCCTTTTGGCTTTTTCACGGAAACGACTAAGGGTCTGGGCCCTTGTTTCCTAACTTTCTCTCGCCGAGTCCCTCAGTCGAGGCGACCCTTTAGGCTTTTTCTGTTCTCAGAAACGGTTTAGGGTCAGTGCCCCGTTGTTTCTATATATACTCGCCGAGTCGCTCAGTCGAGGCGACCCCTTTTGGCTTTTTCACGGAAACGACTAAGGGTCTAGGCCCTTGTTTCCTAACTTTCTCTCGCCAAGTCCCTCAGTCGAGGCGACCCTTTCGGCTTTTTTTGTTCTCAGAAACGGTTTAGGGTCAGTGCCCCGTTGTTTCTATATATATACTCGCCGAGTCCCTCAGTCGAGGCGACTCCTTTTGGCTTTTTCACGGAAACGACTAAGGGTCTGGGCCCTTGTTTCCTAACTTTCTCTCGCCGAGTCCCTCAGTCGAGGCGACCCTTTAGGCTTTTTCTGTTCTCAAAAATGGTTTAGGGTCAGTGCCCCGTTGTTTCTATATATACTCGCCGAGTCCCTCAGTCGAGGCGACTCCTTTTGGCTTTTTCACGGAAACGACTAAGGGTCTGGGCCCTTGTTTCCTAACTTTCTCTCGCCGAGTCCCTGGGACGGCTAGTCGTAAACCCATGCGCTTTATTAAGATTTCTTGGAATCCTCGAGCTCATACATGACCTATCATTGTCTACTGATAGAACCTTTTCAAATGAGTAGCTTTCCATATACGATCTACGAGCTTGCCTTCCATAGTCTCTAATTTGTAAGTTCCGGCCTAGACTACAGCCGTAATGCGGTACGGCCCTTCCCATTTGACCGCGAGCTTGCCTCCTTCGGTAGGCTGGCTGGCTTGTCGATCTCATAGCACTAGATCGCCAACTTGGAAGGTCCTCGGGCGAGTTCCACGGTCGCGGTATCTTTTCACCGCCTGCTGGTACTCGACCATTCGTGCACTCGCGGCTTCCCTTCTCTCCTCTAGAAAATTTTTCTCAATCCGCAGGTTCTCTTCATTTGCTGCGTCCGAGTAGGTGCGGACCCGGTGGGTGGGTTCTACCACTTCGACTGGAACCTTGGCCTCGAAGCCGTATGCGAGCGAGAACGGACTCTCTCCCGTCGCTCCCCGCTGGGTAGTGCGATAAGCCCATAGGACTCGATCAAGCTCGTCTGCCCAGTTTCCCCGGACGTCCTCGAGTTTCTTCCGGATTCCGTCGACCAATGTTCGATTCACATTTTCGACCTGCCCATTTGCTTGGGGGTAGGCCACCGACACCTTGGTATGCTTGATATCGTGTCGGCGGCAGAACTCGGCGAATGCCTGGCAGTCGAACTGTCGCCCGTTGTCGCTGACGATGTGTTCGGGCAAACCGAAGCGACAGATCACCTTTTTCCACAGAAAACGACGACACTGGTACTCGGTGATGGTAGCCAGGGGCTCCGCCTCGACCCACTTGGTAAAGTAGTCGATGGCCACGACACAAAACTTTAATCCTCCCGGGGCGACGGGTAATGGCCCCAATAAGTCTATTCCCCACTTGGCGAAAGGAATAGCAGTGGTGACCGGTGTATAGAAGGTGGCCGGCCGGGTGTCTTTCCTGGCGAATGCCTGACAAACGCCACATTTGGACATCCGTTCAATACAGTCTCGCATCATGGTCGGCCAGTAATACCCTTGAACGACCAATTTTCGGGCGAGCGTGTGAGCACCCTGGTGCGCAGCACAAATGCCCCTATGAGCTTCATCCATTACCTTCTCGGCCTCAGGCCTAAGTAGGCATTTCAACAAGGGCCCTCCAAATGACTACTTATATAGATGTCCGTCGATGATCCAGAAGGAGGGGGCCTTTCGTCGAACCCTTGCGGCGACTGCCGGGTCATCTGGCAGCTCGCCCCTTTCCTTGAACCGCCGGATATCTTCTATCCAAAACATCTCAGGGTTTTTCTCTCGATCCCACTCCTCGACGTTGACTTGTTGGATGGCTAGCGATGTCCCTTCGATACTCGGCTGACTTAGCTCCTCCTTCTGGCAGATCCTTATCAAGTGGTCTGGTACCCCTTCCAGGGCGATTTTAGACAAGATATCGGCTTCTACGTTGTCCGCCCGGGATATGTATTCTATTTCATAGGCCTCGAGCCCCTGCAACATCCTGGCGGCACATTCTTTGTACAATGCCATTCTCGCATTCTTAGCTTCGCACGTACCCGAGATCTGTCCGACTACCAGTCGGGAGTCGGTTTTGATTCGTAGCCGTTCAACTCCCAGATCCTTGGCGAGCCGGAGGCCGTTCAATACTGCTTCATATTCGGCCTCATTATTCGATGCCGAAAACAGGTATCTTAGGGCGTAATATAGCCGAAATCCCTCCGGAGAGATGAGCATGACACCGCCTCCGCAGTGCTGTCGACTCGATGCTCCATCCGCATGCATCTCCCACCACTCGCCCGAATTGCTCTCCGAGGCGTGTTCCTTCTCTTCCTCACTTGCGGTACATTCGACCAGGAAGTCGGCCAAAGCTTGGCCTTTGATGGAGGGTCTCGGCTGGTACTCGATCCCATACTGAGTCAACTCGACGGCCCACTTTACCAGTCGGCCGGAGGATGAGGGGTTCCGTAGCACACTCCCGAGTGGCTGATCCGTCAGGACCCGGACGGTATGGGCTTGGAAGTAAGGCGCCAATTTACGCACGGTGACTACCAAGGCATACACGATCTTCTCCAGGGTGGTGTACCGCGTCTCGGCAGCTTTCAGCGAGCGGCTTACATAGTAAACCGGGTGCTGGACTCGGTCTTCTTCTCGGACCAGCACAGAACTTACTGCCTTGGCCGAGGCGGCAAGGTACAAGAGTAAGGGCTCGCCCTCCTGGGGGGTAGATAGTACTGGGGGAGTCGACAGATATTGTTTTAATTCCTCGAACGACTGCTGGCACTCGGTAGTCCAAGCGAATCCCTCCTTCTTCTTCATGGCTTCGAAGAAGGGCACAGTTTTATCCGCTGATTTGCTAAGGAAGCGGCTAAGAGCAGCCAAGCGTCCCGTCAAGCGTTGCAAGTCCTTGACGGTAGTAGGGGGCTGCATGTCGAGGATAGCCTGTACTTTCTCCGGATTAGGCTCAATGCCTCGTTTGGTGACCATGTAGCCCAAGAACTTACCACCTTGGACGGCGAATGCACACTTCTTGGGGTTCAGTCGGAGGTTGTACTTTATCATTACCTTAAAGCAGTCGGCTAAATCTTCCGCGTGCTTGTCCTCCTCTCGACTCTTGACGAGCATGTCGTCGACATATGCGGCCATCGATTTTCCTAGCAGGTGGTGGAACAGCCGGGCGACCATTCGAGTGTATGTAGCCCCTGCGTTTTTGAGTCCGAATGGCATGACTCGATAGCAGTAAACTCCGTCCGGAGTCAGGAAAGCGGTCTTCTCCTCGTCCGCCGGATGCATGAATATTTGATGGTACCCTCTGAAGGCGTCCATGAAACTGAGCAGCGCCGACCCGGCCATTTCGTCGACTAACTGGTCGATTCGGGGCAGAGGAAACGGGTCTTTTGGGCAGGCTTTGTTAAGATCAGTGTAGTCTACACACATTCGCCATGCCGAGGGCTTGGGTACGAGGACCACGTTAGCCAACCATTCCGGGTACTTAACCTCACGGACGTGCCCGGCTGCTAGCAGCGTGCTCACTTCTTTCTTCACAAACTCCCTCCGGTCGTTGGCCGAGTACCGTTTCTTTTGCACGATCGGCCGGTGCTCTGGGTCCACGGCGAGTCGATGCGATATGATCGATCGATCCACTCCGGGCATATCTTCTGGGCCCCAGGCGAAAACCAGTCGGTGCTCCTGGAGCACTTTCACGATTTCCCCTTTTAACTTTTCCGGAAGGCCGACTCCGATCCGTACTCGCCTACCAGGCTGCGCTGGGTCAATTTCGATTTCTTCCAGCTCGACGGCCGGCTCGGGGCGAGGTATTGCAGTTTTCTTAGGGGGCCTCTCGGTGATCTCGTGGACCTGCATCCCACGCTTGCCCATTCCTCTACACGCTTGTAAATAGCAGTCGCGGGCGACTTTGCGGTCACAACGCACTGTTCCTATCCCGTTCGGCGTGCGAAACTTCAGGCATAGGTGTTCAATCGAGATCAAGGCTCCGAGGTCTTCTAGACCCGGGCGGCCGAGTATGGCGTTGTGCGAGCAGGCTAGATCGACCGCGATGAACTTCATGCTCAACTTTTGTACATCCGGATAACTGCCGATCTCCACAGGAAGAGTGATGGACCCTTCCGCCTCCACTGAGTTTCCGGTGAAGCCGGCGAGAGGGGTGTTCACGGGTCTGAGCTGTTCTCGGGTCAGCCCCATCTTGGTAAAGGTCTCCAGGTACAGCACGTTGACATTACTCCCGGTGTCGACCAGGATTCGGCGGACGACTACGCCGTTGATGTCCATGGCGATGACCAACGCGTCTCGATGCGGGGTTTCCCCGGATGGCAGGTCCTTATCGGTGAACACGATGGGCTCCCGGCACACCTTTTTGGAGCTCTCCTCGCGGCCGTAGACCGTTCCGATATATAGTTGCCGAGCCCAGGCTTTCCGGGTGTTTGCGGAATCGCCGCCCTCTGGCCCGCCGACTATCATGTTAATGACTGGCTTCTGGCGCCATTGGGCTTCGTCCTCTTCGGAACCCGGCTGCTTGCCTCGGCTGTTTTCTGCGTCGGCGGAGAGCCCATCATCTCCTCGACTGGTCGACCTTCGCTTCCATTGGTTAGGGGGCGGAGTCCCTTGCTGGATGATCCCCTCCATGATCTTCTTTAGATAGAAGCATTCCTCCGTGCTGTGAGTGTAAGATTTATGATAACGACAGTATTTAGAAGTCTTACCAGTGTCCTCACTTGTTACACGGTCGTCGACCGGTGGAGGCGGAGGCGGGGCGACCGCTTGTACTTCGTGGACCGGCCGCTCTGGAGCCGACCGATAGGTGTGGACGACGGGGCAGTCGTACGGTCGCCTGACCTCAGGTCGCCGAGCCACGTCTGAACGTCTATCTCTCGTCTCGGCCCGCGTCCTTTTTCCACTAGCAGACCCACCGACCTCGCGTTGCCGTTTGTGCTTCATAGCCTGTTCCGTGTTGGCTCTCTTGTTAGCCATCTGGATGGCTTCTGCGTATGTCGCCGGGCGGTTGTCCCTCAGGTCCCGGTATAGCTATCCGGACCGCAAAGATTCAATGAAGAAGGTGAGTGCTGTTTGCCTCCACTTCTTCTATCGACTGGATCTCCTTTCGCCAGCGAGCTAGATAGGCTTTTAAGGACTCGCCCTCATCCTGATGGATGTCGCCCAAGTGAGTCAAGTCCTTCTGTGGCTTGATGTTAGCGGCGTAGTGGCTCATGAAACGGTCTACCAGCTCCTCGAAGCTGTGAATCGACCCCTGGGGCTGTCCTACGAGCCATCTTTGCGCGGACCCCTTTAACGTGGGTAAGAAGGCACGGCACATGACCGGGTCCCGTACCCTAAGACTTGCATTTTGGCTTGGTAGCTCAGTAGATGTTCTCGCGGGTCGCCTGATCCGTCGAACGTGGCTTGTTCTGAGAATTTGAAGTCGCCCGGTATTTTGAAGGCCATGATCTCGGCGGAGAAGGGTAACGCGGTTAGCAGCGCTCGGCCGGAGGCCTTGGCTCTTCCTTCTACCTGTTCTTTCAGATTTCTTACCTCCTGGGCTAGATTCGCCATTTCGACCCTCTCTTGGGTGTGGTTTCCTGTCGATTCCGCGCTCTCGCCAACCTCCGACTCGGCGGGTTGGTCATGGTCTCGGGTGGGCTGCTCCACGCGGCGAGCCGCCGTCCGGCCCTTCCCCACACGGTTACGTTCACGTGCGCTCTGCCGACCGTGAGTTTCCACCGGAGCGTGGAGGGGTTCTCTTCGCCCCAGCCGTTCTCTCGCTGACCGTCGCTCGACGCCAGGGCCTAGGCGAGAATGAACGGACTGGACGGGTTGACTCACCGCCCGGCGGGTTGATTGTCGATTGTCCGGCCTTCGTGGCGGTGGGGGGTCTTGTTGCGGTATCCGAGTGGAGGATTGCTCCCGTATTCCCCGACTTGCCTCGGCGAAAGCGCGCCCAATCGCGTGTAGTTGATCCGGGGTGAGCTGTACCGCAGTCGGTTGTGGATTTATCTGAGGTGTTGGCGGCGGTGTTGCGTCGTCTTCCCGGCTTCGGGTGCTTCTGCGATTCAGCTGATCTCTTAGGTCGGCTCCTAGCCCATTGCGCTGGCTCAATTGCTCTTGGCTTCCTGTCATGGTAAGGTCTTTCAATTCCTCGCGACCAGGACTCTTCTCGATGATTTCTCGGACTCGCTTTGCTCAGAAGGCACGCGACTCTTTGTTTCGATCCCCACAGACGGCGCCAGTGATGGTTTTTGGGTTTTCGGGCCCAAGGAGGTCCAACACAACCTTAAGCTGGAGGATACACCTTTCACAAAAAGCCTTAATTTCAGTGAAGTATGATGCTCGATAATATTTTCTATTCCCACTCCGGGTTTTCGAATCTGTCTCTTACAAGGGTGGAGGAGCCTTTTTATAGTGGCTCCTCCTCAACTGACTTAAAGGCTTACGGTAGCCGACTTAAAGATTACATTCAATGTGCCGAGCCGTTGGGCGAGGTTACGGACTCTGCCAACGGCTCTCTCTGGCTAGTAACCGGCGGACCGAGTCCTGCTTTCAATGCCTCAACGGCTCCTTGCCTTGACTGCTCTGAAGGCTCTCTCAACGGCTCTTTCAAACCGAGTCTATCCTTGGGCCGAGGCTCGGGCCGATTCCTCGTCTCTGGTTGGCATTCGGACTGGGCCGTCCTCCGTAGCCCTGGACTGGGCCTTTCTCTTTGGGCCTGGGCCGAGTCCTGGACTCGGCCCATGCATTCTTCGAGCCCGCCTTGCGCCAGCCCACTCTTCCTTCTTTGGTTCTTCCTCTCTGAGCCTCTTTTCTTGGGCCGGGGTTCTCACCCCATCAACGTTAATAATTTTTAATATTTCATATAATTTGTTTGAGTTAATGAATTTATTATAAATTACATAGTATATATTATCTTGTCCAAAAAAATGTAATATATTATTATATAATATGTAATAAATACATCGTTCAAATAATAATTATTTGCAAAGAAAAAAAATTAAAGTGAAAACACATATTATTATTATTATTTCACGAATCATGATCCACATAATTGTGTGGACAATAAATAAAAAGTACTCCGTATATTTTTAATATACTAAAAATACATTATTTATGTATGTAAAATAGATTTTTTTTAAAGAACATTATTTTATATATTGTACCTTTGGTACAAAAATAATATATTTTCTCAGTACAAAAGTGATATACTTTTATTATTATTTTTTTGAAAGGGATATACTTTTATTATATTAAAAATGTACCAGATATTCACGATCCACACAATAATTTGCACACAAAACACATATACATAAATTTTAGCCTGAAAATTATAATCCAAATGATACCAAGTCAATTTTAAAATATTTGTATTGGCCCAAATCTAAACAGTCAGTCCTACCCATAAGACCGATGTATATAAGGCCCCATCCAAACCCTAATCTAGACTCTTCATCTTCTGCGTTCTCCCGTAACAGAATTCATCTTCTATGTTTCTGCGATTCTTTCTGATTTCTCACTTCATCTTCTTTTGTACTAAGGGTGGCCCACCGCAGATTGACCCGTCCCACTGTGGGGCAAGGGCGGTTCGGTATCCGCCAATCAAAGTGCTCAATCTGCTGAAAGAAGCAAATGTAGTGCTTCTTCCAGAAGTGCTTCTTTCTTAAAGCATGTAATTCATTATTCGCTATATCCAAACACTTTCCCTTCTCCTCTCTCATTGACACTTCTCCCCGCCATATCCGCCATAGTTGTGCGCTCCTTCTCTTTACATAAGGAGCATCAACATCATGCCAGAAGCAGCTCTTAAAGCCATTCCAGCATCCATTTGGTGTATTGAAAAACTTGCAATGAGGTTTCCAATTCTTATCTCCCACAAATTCATGTGCTCCTCCATAATCATTCACTAAGTTCTTCAGATAATGTTCATTTTTAGATATGGGCATACTAGAGTAGCTTTGAGCTCTGGAGGACAATGGATTATTGCCACCTACATGCAATGTTCCCCATATTCATCAATCCCTATCTTTGTCTACCTTTTTATAAACATAATGTAGTTTAAATAATATGGGAATAACAGTGGCAAAAGTCCAACAGTTTCAACGACCATTGTATCCGCGACTGTTGTACAACAGTTGCGAAAATTCAGTTGCAACAGTGGCGAATGAGTAGTTTTATACTAGTACAAACTCGTAATCACAAGGTTACGAGTTCAAATTTCAGCCTTCTTGGTTTGAACCAGCTGGTTTACCTAAGGAGTTGAAGGGTGGCGGCAATTTCCGTCGTCACCCCCGAAAAAAAGAGATAATGCCACATGGGGTCCTCCAAGTATAGTGGTTTTGTCACGTTTAGTCCTAAACTTTTAAATTGACCATCTTTGGTCCATCGACTTTCAAATTTAACCATTCGTGGTCCACATTAAACACTCAGGGTCATTCACCTATTAAATTTTAACCAACTGTGGTCCTTTCGAGAGGACTACGACTAGTTAAATTTCAAAACTTGAAGGGCCATGAGTGGTTAACTTGGACCACAAATGGTTAAATTTAAAAGTCAAAGGACCACAGATGGTCAATTTGAAAGTTTAGGACTGAACGTGAGAAAATAACTATAATCGGAGGACCTCACACAGTATTAACTCCCGAAAAAAATATAGTTTTAAATGTAATAGGTGTTGAAGGAAAAATACCAGCAACCATAATTGGCAATCCTGCATGGGGATGTACTATGAGTTCAGGCTTTTTTTGTGCAGCCATATTGGGTTTTGGTATTTTCTCAGTTGCAAGCTTGCTTGTAGCTAGTAGCACTTTCATCTCCTGCTCAATCAATTGTGGGTTGCTTAGAAATATGGTCAAGAGGTCAGGATCTATCAAATCATTTCGGGTAAGCCGGACAAGTGTAGATGTGGCAGCAATTAATGCAGGATCAATTTGTAATCCTGTATATGATGGTATGGTAGGACTTCCATGGATGATTGATGTGCTCTCTTTTGCTGCAACTAGCTGTGAAGAAGAAGCACAGATTTTGCACGGAGGTCGCACTTCTCTTTCCTCTAGTTCTTCTATTGGACTTAGGGACATATGATTATGAAAATGCAGCTGTCATCCTGGGATTGGTGCTCTAAATCCAACAAAACAAAAGGGCTGTATATATGGGTATGGCAGAAATTAATTTGGATTATGATCAAGTAAAGTAATATAATGAAGATTGTGATAAGACCATAATACGTCTAATATTAAGTCTAATATATATACCAAGGTTGCAAAACTCGGCCGCCTAGACGCTAGGCGGCACCGAGCCTTAGAGTTTTGGCCTAAAGGCGGCCAAAACTCGGCCGGCCACCTAGGCGGCTGCTAGGCGGCCTGGGCGGCCAAACTCGGCCGAGTTGACCGATTTCGTCCGATTTTAACTGTTTTTGACCGATTTTGTCTGATTTTGACCGATTTTGTTCGATTTTGACCGATGTCGTCTTTCATTAATTATTGATTTTAATATTATTATGACATTATGACTTATAAATTATCATTATTTCATTTATTTAGATGTGTTATTTGAGTGAACGTTGAAAACAACCTCATTAAAATTGCCGAACTACAAGTCTGTCACTATTTTTTTTAATTTTTTTGGTGCCCGCCTAGCGCCGC